TCAGTAAAAGAAATCATTGCACTGCCTCTTTCTAATGATAAAGAACCTTACTGAATTGACATAGTATCTTACTGAATTAAACACAAAGACAAGTTAAGATCTTGCTGTAGAATTATATTTTTGACTAACAGACGAATTAATCTACAGTAATGGCTGGACTTGCTGTTTTGCTTTTATTCATCTGATCAGAACTAACTAATCATCAAAGAAGGTAATATTTTATATGAGAATGCTTGGCAACAAACGTAAGTAATATTGAGCTATTAAGTATCGAATAACTTTCAAAATCTCATGGTTTATCCTGGAATAACTATGCTGATATTTGCAAAATAATGTTGCAAAAAACGATGGTTGCCCCTCAGCACACATTAAGGCAGTAACACCAAATTGCATTAGTTGTCAGATTCTTAATCACCACATAAGTAAAAAAAAGTACAAAATAAAATGCTGGTTGTAATTTTAAATGTTTTGGATAAAATGGTAAAAGTTATTAATTTTATTAAGTTACAACCTTTGTGTATAGATCATTTTAATATTGTGTGACACATGACAGGTACACATGAAGCACTTCTGCTGCACACTAAATTATGATGGTTGTCTCAAGAAAAATGACATGTAATTGCTGGAGTTCCAAGCTGCATTAGTCACTTTTTTTCATGGAACATCATTTTTACTTAGCGATGACCAACAAACTGGTTAATCAGGCCTGGGTATCTGGTAGACAATTTTTTTTTTAAAGAACAATGTGAGCCTGCCACTTTGAGGAAAATGACAGATGGTATTTGTTGCCAATAACATATTTTGAACTTTCAAATAAAACCTAAAACTTCAGGAAACTTTTATCTGCTACTGTGAACTGAACAGATTTTCAGTACTTGAAGACTTTCTGATGAGATCATTGGTGATATAGTGATATTAACAAATGAGAGTTTGTTCATATTGGAAATTCTGCCTAACTCAGTGAACCAGTATTTTCCAGATGACCAATGCACGTTGTTACAAAGTCATGCATGGGGAAAGATCTATTCAAAGTACGAGATGGATCAATGGATTTTAATGTAATGAAATGTGAAAAGTTTGCTGATAAGGTTTCTGATTCCACACTGCAATTAACCTTAAATAAATTACCATTTGTTGGGTTTTGGAGTAGTGTCGAATAATGTCCATAATTATCTAAAAAGATCATTAGCTTACTCTTCTCTTTTCCTATTATATATCTCTGTGAAGCTGATTTTTTTCATGTACTTCAACCAAAACAGCAGAAATTCAAAAGACGGAAGGCAGGATCAGATATGAGAGCTGCTGTTTTCTACTTAGCTGGACATAGACAGATTTG